TACGGGGACCGAGATCCCAGCTAACCGTGCCCAGGGAGTCGTAGGCAGCCTCCCAACTATACATAAACATCAAATACGTGGCGGGCGAGAATTTGAGGGTGCCCTTGGGCCGACTTGGCACGGTGAGAGGGCCGTAAGGAGATCACGGCCCTCCTGACGGACCCCGCCGTGACATAATGGTTGTTTGTTTGTTGGCCCCTGGGCTTGCTCTGCTCATTGTCCGTTCCCCCTCACCCCCCAGTGAGCTCAGTTTAAAGCCCTGTCCAGGAACTTCACCATCCTGGCTGAGAAAACAGCCTTCCCCTTTGGCATGAGGTGTATACCGTCCCTTTCCAAAAGACCTCTGTCTCTGAAGTGCGTGCTGTGGTCAAGGAAGCCAAAGCCCTTTCAGCAGCACCATCGCCGGAGCCTTCAGTTCACCTCTTTTATACATCTGTCTTTCCTAGGCCCGTGGCCTGCAACTGGGAGGATGGAGGAGAAAACTACCTGCGCCCCAATCTCTTAAGCCCAGCTCCCAGAGCCCTGTAGTCACTCATGACCCAGCCAGGATTGCTCCGAGCCATATCATTCATGCCCATATAGATGAGGAGCATGGGGTGTAGTGGTCAGAGGACCGGACAAGTTTAGGAATCCTCTCTGCCACGTCCTGGATACAGGCCCCTGGGAGGCAGGAGACCTCATGGGTCAGGGTGGCAGATCACTCCCTCTGTCCCTCTCAGTAGGGAGTTCCCTATCACAACCACCCTGCATCTCTTCTTAGGGGTGGTAGCTAGCTGCCTCCCCTCATCCACAGCTGGTGTTTCTGCTGATGTCTCTGCTGGTGGTGCGAGAGGTGCGTACCTGTTGCTCAGTTCCAAGGGAGGAATGACCCTGGTACTGCATGTCTTGGGACCTGAGACGACCATCTTCTAAACATCCCCTGGGTGGGGCTCCCAGTCGATCTTCCTGTTGTCCATTTTCACATAGCCAGACATCCATGCTCTTCTCTCTTGGTTCTTCAGGAGAAGAGCCTGATTGTAGTAGTCATCAATAATGTTGAGGTGATGCTGTTGCCATGATGGTCCAGGAGATATGTGAGGGGCAAGAATTCTTGTGGGTGGTATCTTTTATTGGAACCAATCCTATGGTTGGTATAGATATAGAGAAGCTTTTGGGTATCACAGTATCCTTCCTTCAGGGCTGAGGAATGTCTGTTCCAACTATACATTTGGCCCAATAAAGTATAACACCCACAAGAATTCTTGCCTCTTGCATCTCCTGGACCATCATGGCAACATCACCTCAAAGCTACAAAATACATGAGGAAGGCTACTATAATACCTGAAAGCTTGTTTATGTCTATAACAACCATACAGTTGGTCCAATAAAAGAGATCACCTATAGGAATCTTTACCTGTCAGCATGCATGTCCTTGATAGTTAACAATTGCCAGATAGTTTATTTGTGTAACACATTCAGTTTTTACAGGAAGTCTAAACTTTTGTTTTGTCAAAATATAACTGAAATAGCAAAAAAGTATAGAATGTGAACTATGAGTGCCATTTGAGTTTTTTTTTTTGTCTTTCTTTTTTCCATCATGGTGGTTTAATGAAGCTGAATTAATACAGTGAGAATCTTGTGGGTCTAGAAATAGTTGTCCACTTACTACTGTAGCTCAAATACTAATGAACCACACAATGGAAAGACCATTTATTAGATTTTTTTTTTTAAGTACAAGAACTATTTTAATTTGTAAATTAGTGCATGAGTTGCAAAAATATGCCGTTCATATTTCAATCTTTTCATAGATTTCATAGATGTTAGGGCTAGAAGGGACCTCAAAGATCATCAAGTCCAGCCCCCCGTGCCCCAGGGGCAGGAAGTCAGCTGGGGTCAAAGGATCCCAGCAAGATAAGCGTCTAAACGTTTCTTGAATGAGTCCAGAGTAGGTGCCTGCACCACTTCTGGAGGGAGTCTATTCCAGGTCTTGGGGGCTTGGACAGTAAAGAAATTTTCCCTTATGTCCAGACTAAATCGGTCTTGGAGGAGTTTATGACCGCTGGTTCTTGTTTTTCCTTGGGGTGCTCTGGTGAACAGATGTTCTCCCAGATCCTGATGTGCACCCCTTATATACTTATAAACAGCCACACCTGGGTTGTTCTGTGTTTTCTCTCTGTGGCCAATCCACAGAGGTTGTGAGTCTGTGATAACTCTCAGCTTGAAAGTTTGGCTCTTTAGCACAAACTACAGAGATTTGTACCTTTTAGCTCTGGAAGTCATTGATTCAGTACAGTTGCAAAATGGCAGACTTCACTTTTGTTTTCATATACCTACTGACTGGTTGTCATCAGTGATATCTTTTATTAGGGCAACTGGATATTTGCAAAATATGCCTGAAGAAGGGGGTGTATGCCCAAAAGCTTGCAAATAAATTTTTTTTTTTGCAAATATCAAGTTGGTCTAACAAAATATAAAACCTGGCACTCACCTCTGCCATGAGTTCTGATTCCTTTTGCCTGTAGACGAATACAGCTACAACCTGTATCCCTGTTAAGGTTTTGTATTATGAACTCAAGTTCTAACTATCATTAAGTGCTCTTTTTGTTTGCTAATAAAGATATAAGTATCTGGCCTGATTCAAGGAATGACTAGACAATCCAGTGTTGTGTTTTTTGGCATGTTGTGACTTAAAATGTAGCAAACATATTTTTTTATTTTTGCGAGGAAGGGAGAAAGGTAGGGGAAATATCATTCATGTGTTGTTTTCTTTAAATGCTTCTAAAATGACCAGGAAATGTTATCTGAATAGGCAGTCTATTTTGTTGGTGATGGTCCTTAATTTCCTAGAAGTCTGATGATTTATATCAGTTAGCCAACCAGTATCAAAACCAAATGTAAAAAACACACAACCCTATAGTAGTCATGTGACCACACATCTGTTAAATGTGATTGGTATTGAAGCTGCACATTGGTTGCTCAGAATATAGGTGGAGATAAGTTGATTTTGCTTGGTAGAAAGGAGGTAGTTGTGGGTTAGAGAAGAAATTGAAGAGTGGCACATGTGTGGCTAGTGAACCAATTCCTTGCTTCTTTTCATGGGTGGGATACGTAGTCTATGAACTTGACCTCTTAAAATACGCAAACCATATCGCTGTGAAAGTAGTTCATGTGTCTCTTCCATAGACTACAAAATCCTTTTTTATGATAAATTTAGAAATTCAGTTCCCTGATTTTTTTCCTTTTGTTTTTACTGAGGGCTAGATTCTATTCCACCTATTAGGTATCTAAGTGAACCTAGGCTTCTTAAGGAAATCCTATTCCAATCTGCTGAAGTCTGAAAAATTGTTAATGCAAGATATAAGTGTATCTTCCTTGTGCATGCTGCTTTTCATTTTAAGGCTAGCATGGTAGCATGTTCAAGAGTAGGCATGGTAACATTTGTCCAGGAATTTAAGCAAGGTGGAATAGGGTCACATGTAGGTACCTAAGACCATGTAGGCATCTAATGAGTGGAACAGGATCTGGCCCTAAGATTCCTAAGGTCCTTAAAAATGAACACTTCTTTAAGGTCCTTTTCCAGTGTCAAAGTAATGTGTAGGGGATCTAGTTAAATGAGATTCAGTCCGATTCTCATCGATCTTTCTAGGTTAATATGTTTCTCATGTATGTAATCAAAACCTCTTCCTGCACCATCCTCAACCTTTTTTCAGAAATAGCTTTGGCAGAAAAAATGAAGAAAGCCAGCTTGCTAGAACACACTTTAGAAGATGAAGGAAACGCATCTGTTACAGACAGTTTAACATTTCACGCTCATGAAACGAGAGGAAGAATGTTCTCAGAAGAGAAGGGTAAGATGAATACACTGCATTTAAGGGGTAGGGGTCTGGCCCCTCACCCTGCACGGCCACTTTCCCCACTAAAGCTGTTAGGGAGACAAATTTAAGATGACCCTCCAATAATTAGATTTTGTATCTGGAAAATTATAGCAAATTTATATTTATTTATTTATAATTATGGATGTATATAATCTAATTATTGGGGGGTTGCCTTAAATTTAGAGTAATCTTGGATTTGGGTAAATGCTGTAATTCCACAGTACTATCTGCTCTATTTAGAAGGGGAGTGAAAAGGATCAGTTTTTAGCTGCTGGATGCTATTTCATTAGCCAGAAACATAAATGTATAATTACACAATCAGTTAAAAAGTAACCAAAAATGTTAAGTTCATATCTCCTTGGAGTGGCTGCAGCAATATTTACAGCTAAATTGTTCCTAAACACACTCTCCAAGACTTCTGGATTGCTGGGTTTTACATTAATGAGCGAAGATTGGATTTGGGCCACGGTACCTGTTAACAGTAAAACAAACAAAGATACAAAACCCCACCTGAGGCAATCTTCTTTGTAATGACACCTGACATTCATCTTGTGTTACAGGTTAGATATTCATTAATTCAAGCACTTGGAAAAGTTGGCTGTCAATAATTTATCCAAATACAATCAAAATTTTCAATCTTGTTAGTATCACTTATTGTGAGTTAAAAATACTTGTGGCCCGGAACAAAAGACACCACATTTGTGCAAAATTCTCTTCAAAATGATGTTGTTCAGGCCCTGTTAGAATAATAGAAATTTAGGGTTAGAAGGGACCTCAGGAGGTCATCTAGTCCAACCCCCTGCTCCAAGCAGGACCATCCCCAAGTAGGTCATCCCAGCCAAGGCTTTGTCTATCTGGGTCTTAAAAACCTCCATCACCTCTTTCGGCTGCCTGTTCTAGTGCCTTACTACCCTCATCATGGGAGGTTTTTCATCATATCTAACCTAAATTTCCGGTGCACTTCATCCCAGCTTCTGGGTCACTGATGAAGATACTGAAGAAGACAGGCCCTAGGACCAACCCCTCAGGCACTCCACTTGATACCAGCTGCCAACTAGACATCAAGCCTTTGGTTACTATCCTTTGAGCCCAATGATCCAGCCAGTTTTCTGTCCACCTTACAGTCCATTCATCCAACCCATACTGCTTAGCTTGCCTGCATTTTATCTAATGTGGAAACCCTTCTGCTCTCTCTGGAAGGGGCAGAGGGAGGGAAACAAGGTTTGAATTAATTTAAGTGCTTTTAAACAGCCAAATCCTGTAGTCTTTATTTAGACCTTCCTGAGTCGCTAGTTTGTCCATGGGGAATTTTGCCTGAGTAAAGTTGACCTATGATTGATGGGTAACATTTGTGATAAACATGCATACATACATGATATACAGGGTTTTTTTTTCTAACCTCAATCTTTACTTTCTTCTAAAGTAATGTTATAATTCTTAAATTTTCACTATGTACATTTTTAGTTGTAGAACCATGTGCCCTTGATGATGATGATGTGTATGTCCAGGGAATTGGGTACAAAATTATATTAACTAAGCGGGATGAAGAGGAAGAATTGATGGACAGGGCCAAAAATGCAGTTTTCTATTGCCTGATGCGTCAAAAAACTGGACTGAGTCTCAAGGTATACTCTAAAACCTGCAACTGCACTTATGCTGTCTGTGCTTCTGCTTTCATTAGAAACCCAGTTCCTCTGAAGTTCATAGTTTGACTGTAACCTCATCCACTTGGAATACAATATTGACATTTTCAATATACAGGCATTTTTTTAAAGTTGGAAGTGGCTAAAATCATTTAAGGTTTTTTGTTTGTTTGTTTTTAGTAATTTCAGAGTAGTCTGAAGTTTGATTGTTCTCAGTGCTCTTCTGTAATTTTCTCCTCTTGCCTTGATCTCCCCCTACATTGTCTCTTTCCAATCCTTTCTTCCTTTCTTTGCTCTACCCTTACTTTGAGTGTCTCCCTTCATTTTTATGTGTGATTAATATGATGTCTGCTGGCTACAGCACTTCCAGAAGTGCACTGACGCTTGAACCAAAATGGCTTTTGGCCCTTCACATTGTGCTGTCAAATTGCCTTGGCACCCTGTGAGTTGGAGAGTCAAGATACTGACGGAAGCCAAGGACAAAAGTTGATACCCTTCCCATGTCACCTTACAATTTAATCCAGCCCCAGTACAGAGTTGATGCTTTTAACTATTTCCATCCTCACTTAGCATATGTATCTGTGGAGCCAAATGTTGGCAATTGGTGGGCTTGAATCAGCAGAAATTATACATGGTCTCCTTAACAAAGCAAGCCCCAGAGGTGTGTAGAAGTTGGTTATGAAGCAGGCTAAACTAATATCTGGCCCACTCAAGGTCTTACAGGTGAAGGGCACTGGAAACTCTCATGTGGCTTGTGGTGAGGAGATGGCTGATGTACTTGCAAATTATATCTCAGCTAGCAAGACAAGGTGCAGTGAAGTATGGCACGTCCACTCCATGTGTGCTACAGACTGAAAAATGTAATGTAGCCACTGTTTAACATGTGCCTAGTGCTGCTTTCAGTCTTGGGCCTGCAGTATGCCTTGTATCCATCTAAAGGTATCTCTATTATATTTTTCTGGCATTTGGTGTGTGCAGAGTGGAGTGAGTGAGCAGAGTATCTTTCATAGCACAGCTCTCAGTTATAGCCTGGATATGGTATAGACATATCCACGTTGTCTGAGAAGAGAAGTCCTGCTGACCAGGTAGGCGAAGGGAGTAATTTCTTTCTTTATTTGATATGCAGTTCTTTGCTGCAGGTAGCATGTACACTCTCTGAAAAAGTGCACATTATTTGCAAAAGAGCAGGCAAAAATACTTTGACAAAAAACACACCATCCAGAAAAGAGACTGTGCCTCCTCCCTACTTCCCAAAGGCCAGTGCTTATGAAGAGAGACATCAGAGTACTCAGAACCTACCTGATTCCTTCCAGACTCTTCATTCCACAGGTGTTAATAACCCTCTCCCTTTTTAATGGTCTTAATATGCCATTAATCAAACTATTTTTTCTTCTGCAATTCTGTGTTAACTAGTCCTGGCAGTGTAGCTCCTATTTCACAGCTTTTCAGACTATTTTAACTTTAGCTAAAAACTTTAACTCAGGTGTAGAAACATTATCTCAGGTGAACGTTAACTCAGGTGAGGAAATAACTCTCACTGAAGCGTTGGATGCACTGTCAAGATGCTCAAGAACGCTTTGTTTTGTTTTATGCTTCGGAGAGAGATGTGTATTTGATTCTAATGACAAGAGGACTAAACAAACAACATATTTTGATTATTTTTGCCCAGTTTGTTGTGTTTTAAATACTTTTAATGTATGCTATGTATATATATGTATTCTATATATATATGTATGCTATATATATATATAGCAAATTAATGCACATTCCAATGAAGTTATATTTGTTTTTGCTTCAATCTTAAGATGAATGATACAGTCCTAGGCCCATAGCATGTTAGTAAAGCTTTTTGTTTCTTTTTAACTGGAAAAAATGTATGTTGTGTTATATCTGATAATCAGGGATCCTGTTTTACTCTGATAAAAATAATACCCAATTTTCGGTTTTAAAAAAGTAACCCAAAATCCATTTTTCCATGATTAAAATGAAACACCACATAGTAAAACATAGTGGTGTTTCATTTTTATCATGGAAAAATGTGGGTTTTGGATTGCTTTTTTTAAACCGAAAATTGGGTTGCTGTTGGTTTTGTTTTTGTCAGAAAAAACCAGGTTCCCTGATTATCACATGTAACACAACTTACATTTTGTGCAAGATGCATTATGTGGTGTTTCATTTTAATCATAGAAAAGTGTGGATTTGGGGTTACTATTTTTAGACCGAAAATTGTTTGTTTTTTTTATCAAAGAAAACCAGGATCCCTGGTTAATGCACCATACAGTCTGCACCCTTCTCTTCAAAATCCTAGATGTGCCTATGATTCTAGAATATGTATTCCTGATCTACAAAATTCCAATTAATTTCCAATTAAATACTTGTATTCTTAAATAAGAGCACATTTTCAAATAGCTTAATCCTCTTTGCAAGTGAGGGCCTTATAATAATTTAGTGTATAGCACGTCCCTGCACCCACAAATGCAATTAAGTAGGAATAACTATTCTACTTAAAATGTTTACTTTACCTTAATTTGAATTAATTTTCTTACACATATCAGCCATAAGCACTTAATTCCTTCCATTAGGATTTTTGAAGAGACCGATGCTGTGAATTCTGTATCTAGTTTTGTCATGTAATAGCAACTGATTTATTATTACTTATTTTTAATTGATATGGTGTTGCAAAATTCTGCGGTATAGCAAGATTATGTTTGTAATCTGCGCACGGAACGTACCAAATTATTTGCCGGTTGAGCATTATGCTACCTACCTAGTTTCCTCCCCAACTCCTTTTATTATGTGGTCTTTTGGTATCATTTGAGTAAAAAATTTCTATACAAAATAAAATAGGTTATGCCACTTTCTTATGACTGTTGCTATGAAGAATCTCCAAAAATAGAAGATGAAATAATGGATAAAAATAATAGGACCATTTCAGTGACAGCGTAGAGACTTTTCCATTCCCTTTATTCTGCAAACATTTTAGCTTCATTTAACCACCCGTTAGCTTTTTGTTGCTAAATGAGTTCTTTGCTATATTTTCTGTGTTGCTGAGAGGTCAAAGTAAATAACAGTAAGTCTTCTCAGATTTTTTTTCTCTTGGTAAACAACCAGTGCCACATACTAAAGCAGGCGTGGGCAATTATTTCAGGCGGAGGGCTGCATACCAAGTTTTGGCAAGTTATTGAAGGCTTCATTTCTCTCTCCAGCGCATGGAAGCAGGAACAGCCCCATGCTCCCAGGCCAGAAGCCTCTGCTAGGCAGGGGCTTCTGGATCGCGGGGCAGGGCTGGGGGGGCCTTGCTGCTGGGTCCTGCTGCTGGCTTCCCTTGGGTCCTACTGCCCTAGCTCTTGTCATCTTTGACAGGCAGCCAGGAGCAAATAAATATTAAATTTTCTACATTTTTTAGGGGCCCTATGGGCCAGATAGAATGGCCTGGTGGGCCAGATCCGGCCCCCAGGCCGTATTTTGCCCATTCCTGTACTAAAGGTATCTGTGGTAACTACAGGCCAGTTGTGGAACTTTGTTTGCCTGTTGTACTCCATTCTTTTTTCTGTCTTGTCTATTTGAAGTGTGAACTCATCAGCATAATGTGTCTCTTCCTGTGTTTCTGACTTTTTCTTTTTTTGTGGGGGGAGGGGAAAGAGAGGGGAAACTACTTGTATTTTGAAATTATACCAAAAAAGGGTTTTTTTGGTTTTTATTTTAAATTGAATAGGTGAAAATTAAATTAACAGGCTTCTAAATTATCAGGTATATATAATTGCAGCAGTCTGACTTGACCCAAGCCAATTTTTTTTAAGATTATCAGTTTGCAAAAAACATAGAAGATTTCAAATTTTTGTCCCAGTTCAGGATGGGAATTATTTGTAATAGCTTAAATTTTTGTGGGACGTGAAAACTATTTCCTGTACAGCTGTAGAGTCACCCACTTTGGGGGATCAAAATGCAACTGCAAGCACTAATTAAACTACTTGTGCTTTTAAGTAACTGATTCATATATACCAGAGCTGTCCAACTGCCATGTGGCCTCCAAAGAATTAACATAGAATCATAGAAAACTAGGGTTGGCAGGGACCCCGGGAAGTCATCTAGTCCAACTCCCTGCTCAGAACAGGACCATCCCCAATGGCAGTGCTTCCCCACCTTTTTCAGCCCAAGGCACACTTACATTAATACAAATTTTCTGCGGCACACCTGTTAAGGTATTCCCCATCCTCATACTTATTGTAGCTCATTGCCATGGCAAAATTCTGTGATGCACCTATTCATTTCTGATGGCACACTTTTTTGTGCTGCGGCACACTGGTTGGGAAACACTGCCCAGTGGTACCATATATTCCACAACCTCTCTGGATAACCTGTTCCAGTACTTTCTCACAAGGAGGGTAGTAAAGTTTTCCCTAATATCTAACCTAAAGTTCCCTTGCTGCAATTTGAGACCGTAGATCCTTGTTTTGTCATCTGTCACCACTGGGTGTTTACACACACTCCAGGAATGGGGAGGGGAGCTTTAATTAAAGCAGCTCTGAGAGCCACTCTAATTAAAGCACCCAGAGTATCTCATGTGTCAGTGTCCCCTCACTTAAAAAATGGCAGCAGTGTCACTTTAACTAAAGCTCTTTTGACGAGCTTTAGTTAAAGTGCCCCCACTGCCATTTTTGAGCGAAGGGATGCTGATACACGAGATGCTGGAGTGAAGTAAGTACCATGCTCCATCAGACCTGATTAATCGAGCCTGCTCCAGCTCACTGTAATTACAGTGTGTTGGAGCAGCCTGGCTGCTCGCATATAGGTGCCCACTAAAAACAGTCTATGTGACCCCTGCTAGTGCTGCCTGTGTGGTGTGTGGCCCTTACTGGTATAGTGTGTGGCCACTTTGAAAGATGGACAGCCCTGGTGTACCCAATGAGGTTTTGTCATTTAGATTTTCATGACTTTAAGCCAAACTTCATGGCAAATGAACACATTTCTACATAGCAAAAGACGACCTGGGCTTTACCACTTGTCTGCTGCACTTGGGTAACTGCCTGTTCACAAATTTTGGCCCTCTGGCAAATGAAAGCTAATCCATGGTTGTTTTAACCTCCATGAACATGGGATAAAATATTGTGGATGGCTTTAAGTTACCTCAGCACGAGGGCATGGCCATGGAACAGCTGATGTATATTGCCTGTGGGCACACTTGTCTCTGGGTAAGTCCTGAGATAACTGAAAGACAACCCATAGTAGCTTACCCCTCTCAAGGAAAGAGCTAGGCTACTGTGAGGTTGCTTTCATTTACTATAGGGTAAGACTCTGTAGATGGGCCACTACCATAGAGCAGCTTGAGCCCTACCCTCCTTTTACCTCACAATAACTTGTGCCTGTGCCTCAGTGGATCTGTTTCTGATACTAGGATCATTCAGACCCAGAACTCGAGAAGTGCAAATGCATGTGAACTGAAATCATAAAAACAAAATGCTTTGCATAAGTACATCTGTGAAACAAATCCACCACGATTTCACTTATGGCAGCTAGTATATAACATGTCCTGCCAAAATGTTTTTCCTCAGGGTTTGTTCACACAAAGAATGTTTATTTTTTCACTTCCATATTCCCAGATTTAGCCATTTAGAAACAGAAGATTTAACTGCAGTTGTTTTCAAAACTAGACAGACTTGTTTTGTATGAGGAACTAACTCTTGAGACCTTTTACCAGATCATTTGCAAGTTATGATGCAAGGTTTAAAATAGTTCAACATGTAATAAATTCAAACTGCATGTAAAGCCCTTTTCTAATACCTCAAACTGCCTCTTGTAACCATTGTCATAACACAGGAGTTCACTACTTGGGCAGACACCAAAGTAGGCCAGGATGCCCTATAGGGCTAGGGACAGATATTACACATAAGCCAGTATAAGTGATCAGAAACTGGTTTAAACCTGTAACAGAACAGAAGTTCAGTGCACATAAACCAGTTTGAAAATGGCTGAAACCACTTTGACATAAACCTAGTTGAATGTAGTATTAGACTTAACTGATTTTGGTCAAACTGATTTATGCAATGTCTGTCCCAGACCTCTTCCTGGTTTAAGTTAAACCATAGTCCCCCAGCATCCCAGATGCTTTGCAATTCTGGGCGGGACTCTGCTCTCTGATCCAGCCCAGCAGGGCTGGCCCCGACCCTTTGCTGCCTGGCTGGAGCTCTGGCAGAGACTGCAGGTACAATGGCATCTTGCTGGCTTCTTCCTGCTTATCCACCCCCATCCCCTCCCACCACCTCCACTCCCTGCTCAAGCAGGGATTCCCCTTCCTGTCTGCCTTACACAGACACCTCTCAGCATTAGCTAGCATACTACATGCTGGCTACAGTCTGTGCTGTGGGAGACGGGACAAAGGCAGACAGGACAGTGTTGGCTTAGGGCTTTTTGGAGGGAATCAACAAGTAGCTGGTAATGTCCCTCTATCCCTTCCTCGGGAAAAGTTGTTTAGTTGTTTAAGAAGAGCTTAAACTAATGAGAGAGGCTTTGTTTTGTTTGATGGCCTGAAAAATGCTAACAGCTCCCTGTGTAACTCCCTGATGTGTGACTAAGTGCTCCATTATCAACAGTAGGGGTGACCCCCCCTACTCAGAGTGTCCTGCTGGGGCCTGGCCATGGCTGCCCTCAGCTCAGCACCTTGGAAGGGAAGGGAGGGCTGCTGTAGTGCCCCCCGGCTTCTAGCCTGAGCCACTGCGGACATGTGCCTGCATTTCTGGAATGAAAAGGGGAATGTCTATCTACCTCTAAATCAGTTCAAGCTTTGCAGGTTAAACTAACCTGCAAAGATTGAATCAATTCAGGCTCAGGCTTTTTGAATGTCCATCCCTAGCCTTAAGAGAATGCCTGCTTCTTGTTTCATTTTCCCTTGTGTAAATTAATATATGTCCCACTGAATTAAGTTGTATTATACCAGCAAAAAGCAGCATAAACAGAATACCAAAATCAGGATCTTTGCATGCATCTTGCATTTTATGATAGTATTGTATAAAAAGGATATGGGTCCAGCAGGAAAGTCGATAGGGGGTCTTCATCTGCCCAGACTGGCAGGAATACTTTGAGGCATGCACTTGCTAGCATTTGCCCTTTTCATGCATCACAGTTGCCATTAAGAACATCTGGAGGTGAATGAAACATATGCACTTCAATGTTTGGTTTTCTGTTCTCACTGTTAGTATTTTTAGTTAACTCTTATGTTTGATCTATAGTATATGTTATGTGAACATGCTTCATTATGAACCAGTAATAAAAATGACTCCTAGACTCTGATTTACAAGAAAATAGATACTTCATATGTACATATAGGAAAACATGTAATTTATGTTTATAATAGAAGACATTTAATCAAATCCTACATTAAAATGCTTATGCACAAGGGTATAAATTAAGGCTGTATATGCAAAGCCATCACTTGTTATTCCCTGAGTTGAGTCAGAATAATAAACCCCTATTGTTTTCTTATCATAGCTTTTTGTATATACTGTCCTGGGTTTTTTTTGAAAGCAAAGAATTAAATAGAAGGAAGAAAAATTACACAGAGGTTTGCTTTTTTAGGAATATGTAATTTTTTGGCTTGCAGCTTACAACAGCATATGTAAATCCCAGAACCTGGGGGTATTTAGCTAGAAAAACCCTAAAAGTATATGTCTCATGCACCTGAAGAAGATCATGGAAAGGAATCTAGAAGAACTTATATAGAAGAATAAGTAAAATAACAGAGGAGAAGTAAGTAAGACCTATGACATGAAGCTCTTTGACAATGGGAAGAAGTAGTTTGAATTTGAGAAGGAAGAGCCAGAGAGTGCTGAGGTGACACTTGAGTTGGACAGAGATTTGAGTTGCCAAAATGTCCCCCAGTTAGGCAGATCTTTGATGCATATGAATTGACTTCATCAATCAAGTCATGTTGCTGGAATCTCTTAATTTAAAAGATTTTGTCATTTAAAAAATAATTAAATCAGGGTGGAGTCTTTTCTTAAGGTTGTTAGGACTTCTTTAATCATGTTGCTTTTATGCAGCTAATACATTTTTTTTTCTTCTGCAAATGTCTTCTAGGCCTATTTTCTGTTTCATCTTCCAGACCTGACACCTTTAGTCAATACTTTGGTGTATCTCAACTTGTCATTCAATAATTTACAATTCTTTCCTAGAGAGGTGAGTACTTGCCAGTTATTTTCCATGTCATTATGAAGAGTAAAATTATGTAAACTTGATTTTCTTGAGTTTAAAACTAAAGTAAACATTAAAAGTCCTTTTCAAGCAGCAATGACTTACTGTGAAATCAGGTAGCATAGATTTTAGAAAAATGTAATTTCTTTGGTGCTTATTTGAGCAATAGCAAGAAAAAATATGAGTTGAGAAAGATGCCAACAAGATTTGGAAACACCTCTATCTCTCTTTCATTCTGATTTTGTTTTAGGCGGTTGGCTTTATTTGGGAGATACTCCTGATTTAAATGTATTAGCATTTATAGGGCAGCAGTCTATGTGTTGATATTTCTATCTATATATTATTGTACTCACAAACATTATTAAGAACATTATTCATTATTAAGGTTGCAAGGTCAACACTTACATGTTGACTTTGCCAACCTTAATCTAACCCTTTTGGTATGATACGTTATGATACAATCTTTAGTTGCATGAGCACATTATACATCCTTTTCCAAAGGGGTCCTGCCTCATTCACTGTGTTGCAGGGCACTAAGACTTGCCTGCTCCTTTAAGGGCAGAAGCAGCATAGCCAGAGAGCGATGCAGGCTAGACAGAGCTCCACACTGCAGGTTGCCCGGGCAGCAGGCTAATGAGGGAATTAACTGGCACCTGCACACAGTCAGCTGACCAGAAGGAGGCAGGGCCCTGGGTATATATAAGCCCCAGGGCTGGGGCTGGCAGAGGTTAGTTCTCTGGCAGCTGCTAGGGGAAGGAGCTCCTGCAGGAAGGAGCTGCCCTGAGATGTGTGGTTGTCTGGTCTGCTGCCTGTAGGACTCATAAGGTACCCTGGGCTGATTGGCATGCTAGACTAGGGGACAAGTTCGCTTTCTTAAAGGGGGAGAACGATCTGCTGAGCTGCGCTGCACCTGTGCAATGCGACAGCTGTTGCACGGGTGCCAGGAGTGGGGGGAGCGATCCCTGCTGCCCCCCACTATCCCACGCTGCATGGGGGCTCTGCCATGAGCACTCAGAAGCCCAATAGCCACTGCTGCAACCAGTGAGTGCGGGGCTTTTTTTGAAGTGCCAGGGCTAGGCTGGGGTCGGGCAGGGGATGGTGGGCTTCTCCCACGGCTCCCCACACTGGGGCAGAGGCAAGCACAGCTGGAGGAGCCATGGGAGAAGCCCCTATGGCTACTCTGCCCAGCTCCATCCCCTGCCCAGCCTCAGCCTCCTGGCACTTAAAGCCCTGCACTCACCGGCTGCAGCAGCAGGGATCAGGGCCTCTGGGGGCTTGGGCAGCAGGGATCACCTCCCCCACCTGACACCCGCACAGCAGCTGCACCATGGTGTGGGTGCAACACTGCTTGACAGGGCACCACATGCTGTCTGGGAGCTGGGACAGTTCCAGCAGTCGCCTGAAGCCTGGCACTGCTCAGCCCCAGCGGCCCCAGGTCCCAGACGACGCGTGGTGCTCTGCCAAGCCATGCTGCACCCACACTATGGAGCAAAGGCTGCACGGGTGCCAGGTATAGGGGGGGGTGATCCCCACTGCCGCCCACTGCCCTGCACTGTGCAGGGGGGCTCTGCCATGAGTGCCCAGAGGCCGCAATAGCTGTTTCTGTAGCTGGTGAGTGCAGAACATTTTTTTTTTTTTTTTTTTTAAGTGCGAGGACTAGGCTGGGGCCGGGCAGGGAATAGGCCTGGTAGGGCAGCCATGGGGGCTTCTCCTGTGGCTCCCCCCACCTGGAGAAAAGCAGGCATAGCTGTAGGAGCCACAGGAGAACCTGCACCCGCCCAGCTGTGCCTGCCTCTCCCCGGCCAATCCGAATCTCCAAAACTGCGTCTAAACTCCATAACAGATTCAGCCAAATCGAAACAGAGCAGTGATCCAAAACACCGAAATGAATCACTGTCCTCTGAAATGGCTGAATCCAAAATCAAAACAAGATATAGCCGTTTTGCACAGCCCTACTGCTGAGCACTAAGCTGATGTTTTTAGCAAACTGTCCACAATCATTCCCAGATCTTTCCTGTGCGATAATAGCTAATGTAGATCCCATCATAGTGGTTCACAAGCATAGCCTGGGTTATTTTTGGGTTATTTTGTTATTTTTGTCATTGTGCGTCACTTTACACTTACCCGCATTACATTTTATCTGCCATTTAGTACCCATTCACTCAGTAGTGCCAGATCCTTCTGTAGTTCCTCACAGTCTGCCTTGGTCTTTACCATTGTGAAAAATTTTGTGTCCGAGTTATAAAGAAATAAAGACAAATAGTCAGTATTTTTTTACCATGAACCAAGCAATATAGTTTTTCATGCCTCTACTATTTTAGCTAAAATGTAAAATAATAATAATAGAGCAGGTGCTTATTCAAGCTTTAAATGGTTAAAGGTTGGATAAATTGTAAGTGGCTGAAAACAGGGGTTTAGAATGGGAAGTAACAGGCTGTGCCAGTAAGCCTGCATATAATGCTATACCAGTATCAGTGAAAACCTAAGAAAAAAATGCATATCAAAAGAGCCCTCTACATGTACAGGTAAAAGCACAAAGGGATCTAACATGCAATCTTCATAATGGCACCTCTTGCCAGTCAGCATGCATGGCAATGGCAGGAGGACTGATTGTGGGATCATCATGGAAGGCCATCCAAGGGAGCCCAGGATTGCCATTCTGGGCTCTCCCTAGACCCGCAAATATCTAGCTCCTGCAGATGCATGTCCCACAGCTGATGGGACTCTTAGCCCCAGTAGTTGCGGGGCACCCCTGTGACTGGGAGATTGCAGCAACTGTCATCTCCCAGCTGCAGGGGCACAGGATACACATGCAAATAACAGCTGGATAGAAACTAGCTCTAAAGTTATTGCACACTTTTGACCAATAACTTTATAGCCGGTTGGACCTTTTTAAAGCACCATAGTTAGTTTGCACGTGTAGCCAGTCTAAATTAATTGTGCTATTAACCAGGTAGTTGTGCAATAGATGTAGTATGTAGAAGGGGCAAAAGTCTTACTATAACTGTATATTGATTAACAATCAGGACTCGTGGTAGAGGTGATATCTTTTATTAAACCAACCAGATTTTTGCAAAAAAAAAATTCTTTAATTCCAAGCTTTTGGGCACAAACACCCTTCATCAGGCTGCATCTGTACATTTACATTCAAAATTCTTAATATATCAAAACAGTTTTCCATATTTTTCCAGCATTGCCTAGAAATGTAAAAGCATTTATCATCTTTGCTTTGTGACTATTTTTTTTCCATTCTCTTTTTTTTTCTCCAAGGTGTATAATCTTCAAAAATTACAAGTCCTGAAGGTCCGAAACAACCCCATTAAAGAAATCCCAGATGATATTCACAAACTCAGGACACTTAGGAAATTTATCATTTCCTTCAATTTGCTATCTGTCCTTCCCACTGGGTAAGGTATTCAGTATTAATGAATAGTCTATATTATAAACTTTCTGAGCTCAAACAAGGTTCAGTTTCAGTTGTGACATGCTGTAGTTGTTCATCAATTCTCATATCAGCTTTGTAGATGACACCTAAGAAGCTTTCTAGTATTATATGTTTACATACTTGTGACACGCACGCACGCGCGTGCGCGTGTGTGCAAAAGTACTTCCTCTGTAATTGGCAGTGGCTGAAAAGGAAGTAGTGACTTTGACTATGCATTGTTTAATTTTCCAAAGGAGCCTTTGGTCTTGATATCATCAGACAATCATTGCACTGTCTGCCCCTTGCTAGCTTTTCTGGTATTACAGTACTATCCAGCGGCTCAACTAAAATCAGAGAGTCCCTTGGTGCTAGGAGCTGTATGAACACGTAGTCAGAAACAGCTCCTACCCCAGAGAACCAATAGTCTAAATAGAAGCCATAGACAGCTGATGGGGAAAGGATGGTGTGCTATTCCCAGTTTCAGGGATGCAAAAAAGAAAGATACAGAGAGCTGGTGGGACTTGTCCAAGTGACTGTAAAGCCAAGAGTTGAGCCCAGCTTCCATGAATCCCTGTCTTCTGTTTTAACTACAAGAGCAACACGCCTTATGACAGTTTTCTTTGCTGACTGATATATAAAGTGGAAACTCATTAAGGTAATGCTGATAGAACACAAATTACGTGCATTTTAGTGGGCATTAAAATTAATGGTTATAGTGCTTCTGTCCTAAAGCAATATAATTGCCTAACAGGGAGAGAGGCAATTGTATTAATGCATTTACTAAATACTAATCTGTGCTCAGTGAAAGTTACACAGTGCTTTTCTATTTATGTTATTGCATAAAAAGCTGTGGACCATCTATGGCATAGATTCTGTGCTTTGAAGGCTCACTGTACACTCCCAGCCATCTGTACTACTCATTTTTCCCCTTTCTATTCATCTCACTCCAGAAGTTCCCTTTCCTTTTATTCCTTTCCCTTCCATGCTTTCCTGAACTGCAATTCTTCTTAGAATCTCCCTAGTTGCTTTGTTTTTCTTTGTTGTATGTAACCCATTTCCTCCACATTTTATCCCTTCTGTCCAGTTAAGCTTTTCAAGGTAGGGATTATCTTTTATTATGTGGTTTGCACAGTTCCTAACACAATAGAGTCCTGACCTTGCTCATCACTTCAATGTTATCATGTAATAAATACCACTGAGGAATCACATTTTCACAGTTTCTAGGGTTACTTTACAGAATCATTGTTTGGGCTCATTATATTCATTGTGTGACATGGATAAGAGATTGAACTGTCTAAAACATACAGAGGTCTTTACACAGGAAAACCCTGCCCAAATGCTATACCTCTCATCTTCACACACCTATCAGTTCTGTTATTGTGTGTCTTTAGCCTTATTGTACACCTTTTGCCAGCTTCATTCAGGTGACACCTGTGTAAGTTTTCCAAAGTATATGGGCTGGCATCTTCTGCAGAGTGTGCCTCTAGACTCTAACGTAGCAGTCCTTCACATTTTATCTCTGTCTTTCTCACCCACCTAAATAGGATCCAGCCCAGAAGGGGAATAAAAGCCTGTGTTCAGAACAAATTAATAATGCAGTGATCTCATTCAAAATCTAAATATTATCAGCACTATGTTAGCTGCTATGCATGGAGCATTTCCAAATGTTTGCCTTCTCTGCATCTGAGTGGAGTATTTTCTATTTTCCACTAATTTTTCACAATCATCAGTCTAAGAAATGTCTGATCTTGAAAGGGCTTAAGAAGCTTGTAAGTAAATCGGTCATCTTAAGTTAATGGCAATAAACACTGTTAATGGGTTATATATATCTCATATTTTATTGGTAGATATAAAAATGGCCTATATATTTAAATACCTTTTATGCTTATACAATGCTTTCTCTTCTTTAGGCTGTTTTCATTACCATATCTTTGGTATCTGGATGTTGCCTACAATGATATCAGTGTTATCCCTAGTGAAATCAAGAATCTCAGGTATATAAATAGTATGAAATGGAATCAGACCTATACATTACAATATTGTGAGGCAGATCATGATCTTTGTTATATTATTGTAAACATGGTGTAACTTCACCAAAGTCCATACTTTGCATTTATCCCTGTATAACATAACTGAAAAGCTGACCTACTATTTGGTGTTTAGGACTTGATTTTAAAAAGGTTATATGCATAAAATGTATATCAATATGCACACCTGATATTCACAAATACTTCAGCTATATTGAAAAATTAGGTAGCTGCACACAATTTGTGATCATTTGCTAATTATGACTGTGTGCATGTATGCTTGCCTAATTTGTATTCACAGTAATTATGTGCCCTCAAATCATGCATGCTTCTTGCCATGAATTTTGCGTGGGGAAGATGGGATGAGGAGTGGGTTCACGGGAGCCATCCAGTAGACGCCATGCAAGAAAAATAGTTCCCTCACATGGGAGAATACAGCTCTTCATTTTTGTTTGAAAAGCTGTAGGTATTTTGAGAGGATATCTATGCAAGGACATTTATGAGGACAGAGATAGAAATGTATTTATATGCTAAGCAAATGTGACATTAAGAATATTCACACTTTCCCTTAAACTTTTAAAAACTCTAATGTTTTATGCATGTAATTCATTACCCATCTCAGTAGTTCAATTAGATGCACCCTTATTTCTGGCTGCACAAGGTGTTAAATATACTTAGGAAAATAATCATATTTATTTGTACATCTTGCATGTAAAATGCAATTAAATACTTGGCCCTTTATACATACAGGTATACTTGCTATATTGTTTCAGGACCCCAAAAATGTGAAGTTGGATATAAATGTATATACATTATGGACATGATAGCCAACTGCATGAATAATCTGTTAATATATGGTTGTCCTCAAAATTACAGAGCACTTGAATATCTAGATGTTGAAGGGAATCAGCTGTGTGTTTTGCCTGGTGGAGTCTTGAAGCTTCCTCTGAAAAGCCTTAGAGTAGAAAATAACTTCATGCATCCTTTCTTATGGAATGAAAGCTGCCAAAACCAGCCACAGAGACTTACTGATTTGGCTGCATTTTCCTTCTCCAAAAACAATCTAGGACAAAGATATAAGGAAATCCCAAAGGATATTCAAACCATATTGTGCAAGTAAGTGATATAGGCTTCCTCCACCACGGTGCATTCTGCAGGAATCTGTGATGTACAGGAAAGATGCATGCGGGACCTAATCAATTATTTGAGGATGTCAGAAGGAAATCTTCTTCAGGCATGGTAGTTCATACTTGCTGTATCATACTTTCATACTTTCTCCATGCATGTAATTTGTTACCCATCTTGGACATTCCCATCTTGGGTAGCTGTATCCTGAAGCTACCTATATAGATCCTTACTGTTTGAACTGCATGCCATGAATTGTGAGGCACAGGATGTTCAGCTCCCAACCCACAGGCCAGATTTGGCCCGCAGAGCTACCACAGAGCTGTCATCCAACCCGCAGGGCTCTAAAAATATGGCATCAGGGGAACATTAGCAGCATTAATTGCTGCTCCCCTGCTGCTGAATTTCTGGACTCATTGGAAGCTTTCCAGGTGGCATAGCATGACCCTATGTGTTAGAATGGGTGTGCAGGGCCCAGGCAGTGCAGGGTCCAATTTGAGCACACGGGGCAAGATCCAGGTGGTGTGGGGCAGGATCTGAACATTACAGGGTGGGATCCTTTAGCTCTTATTTTCAGTGCAGAGACTGAACTAGCAGGTATTGGGTAGATCAGGGTTATGCAATGTTACTTGACTTATTTTTTCTCCATTTTAGCTTTACCCTCTGCGACTACTGCAATGGACCTTTGTATGGTCAAGGACTTCATTGCATTCGAACTCAAAGGAGCATATTTAGATCACACAGACTTCCTTTCCTCTTTAATGCCTGCTCATCATCTTGTTACAGAAGCTTCATGTCTCAGACTGCTGCTATGTCTCAAATATTTTATAGAGATGGATTTGAGTTACAGCATAGAAACTGGTGATGTGATAATGCCACTTACAATATATGATGTCTTTTAGGTCATGTGGTACTAGAGGATAGCTTCAGATATTGGCATACTTGTGATGACTTCCTATGTGCAATTATCATACCCTCCTTAAAGTGTGTTCTGTTCTAAATTCTCTGGTTTTTTGTTTCTATTTCCATATGAATTTATCTCTGTTTATCTCAGAGATCACTCACTGACAAGTTTTCTCAGAAGGCTTTTAAGCAATGTTTGTGACTGACAGATTCTGTACAAATAGTGTACGAAGAGTATAAATATATAAATGCAGACTCAGTAAAAAAGACAGGAAGACAGAATGGTTTTTTGGTGTTTCACTAGATCTCAGATGATAAAACCTAGTTGAATCAAAATTTAGCCCAAATTCATCCTATGAAATCAATTAGGTTACAATGAGGGTGATTTTTGGCTGTAACATTTCCATGTTACCATGCTGGTACTCAGTAGGTGGATCTACACATGTGCTTTACTATGTAGTCAACTAATTAGCTCTGCAGTAAAGCATTCCTGTCTACATGTATGCCAGCACAGTATGAGCGTGCAGTAAATTAACTCCGCTGTACAATAGTACTGTTGGGGACAGTACTATCTAATGATGGAGCAATTAAGTACAGTGAAACACATATGTAGATGGTAACAGGGACTGGCTGGGGCACAAGGTTTGTGGTTCGTTTCCATCATGCCTTAAATTGAACACATGTCAGAGTAGTCCCACCATGCAGCCTGGGTCTGGCTGCATGGCAGGGCTCCCTTGACAACTTGTCCCGAGTGGGCAGTCTGACAGCTGTGCAGTACAGCCCTACCTGAGGCTGCACCCTGTTGTTTTCAGGGTGCTAAGTCAATGTGGGCTTATCAGCTGAGGCTTTCTGTAACCTAGGATAATGCTTGTCTTCCCCACAGCTCTGGCAGGGGCTGAGGAGCAAAGCATGTTCTAGCACCAAGTCATGAACAGCCATGGGGCTCCCCATAACCCAGCAGATTGACTGCCTTGCCCCACAGCTCCCAGAGAGCTGAAGAGCAAGGCACTTAACATCCCAGCCATGGGTATCCTGGAATAGGGGAGAGGTTCTCTGATCCCAGGTCCTGTGCTTTGGGACCTTTAAACAACACAGGTGCAGCCCAACTGCACATGCACTTTTTTCTGACGTCCCCAGCCTATGAGGGTCTGAGACAAGCCCCAGTGTAATCACAGGGGTGGGACTCACAATCCTCTGATCATTGGTCCCAGCCCTGGGACTGCACTAGAGCCAGTTGGAGACTCCAGTCCAACCCCAGGGCTGAGAGAGACAATCAGGTGCTGGTCAGCCTCAGCCTCAGGACTGCACTGGGTCATACCAGACTGCAGGCACCTGGCTCTCAACTTGTCTGTGCTGGGATCATAATCCTGGGCTCCTCCTGCACTGGGAAGCAGTAATAATGTGGCTGGGGTCTGATTCCCAATCCCAAAATCATGCATCCTGCCCTGCACATGTGGCATGGCAGGAGGTATGATTTTTGCGATGCACATGTGGCATGGCAGGAGGGATGATTTTTGCTCTCATGAATCGGATCCCAGTTGCACCATTAACTGAATATGTACAGCATGCTGTAAATTCCGACACCAACTCAGACAAAACATGGATCTGTGAAACTTGGAACATGCTGCATTGTGTTCAAATTGGGCTTGTTAGCTACAGATTCATTCAATCTGCCCAGACCTCTTACGTGTCCGCCATGATCCAGAGGATCGATGGTTGCCTACCTACTAGGGGTGTAATTGTAGGTGGTCTGCTGTCTTGTGGATTCCTCAGTCCTGAGTTAAGCAAGCAGACCCTTTACCATTCATGAAGAGAGCAATATGTCTAAGAATAATACTTAATATTCATTGATTCAGCGAGAGCAAGCATGCTCTAGCCTGGTGTTTAAAGCACTTACTTGGAGATGCAGGTTTTACTACAGCTGTAATGAATGTGTAAGTACTCCATGCAAAGTTGAACAGCAGAGTTTTAGAGAGACAGAGACCCACCTCAAAATACCTCACTAAGCAGTAGTTAAATGCCTCTCTTGGGAGGTAGATTCAAATTCTTGCTCCATATCAGACAGTGAGGGGATATGAACCAAGCTCTCCCAATCCCCCAGGGAAGTACTTTAACCAGTTGACTATTGGCTTGGTACTGCTTCCTTGCTGGTGGTTTTTTTTTTTTGAGACCTGACCCAGTAGGTATTCTGTGAGACAGTTACCCATTTGTGAATCCTGCCAGGGCTTAGGCTCCAAGCAACCTAGTGCAGAGACAATTATTTCGGGCAGAGGGCTGCTTACCGAGTTTTGGCAAGCCATCGAGGGTCGCATGGGTAACCTCACACTTTGACAGATGCCCTGCCCCCTGGTTGCCATCTTGGGACCAGAAGTCCCACCCCCTAACCCCTGACTTTTGCTACCAGAAGTCCCTCTGCTTGCCCCCCCAGAAATACTCCTTTCAGCAAGGGGTTTTGCAATCTCTGAACCAGAAAAATACCAATTTATATTCTAAAAATCAAACATAGTACAACATTCATTAATTTGGTTTAAAAAATAATTGTCCTGATTTACATGCGTTTGTGTAGTGTACATAGAAGTGATAGTATAATAACTTAAAATGAAGTCTTGCTCTTATATATTGGGGGGGGGGGGGGGTGAGTGGGAGGGTGAGTATAGCTCCTACGGCCCCGGGACTCTGGCATGGGCCCCATGCTCTCGCTTGCTGCCAGTTGCCCCCTGGCTGCCACTGCTGCTCTTTTCCTGCCACTCCTCCCACTCCCCCCCCAGCCACTCCAGCACCATGTCCCAGCTGCTCCTGCAGTCCTGGCACTGCAGCTGGGGACCACGTGATTCACTATTCAACACCTTTATCAGCGACTTGGAGGTGGGCATGGAAAGCACACTGTCCAGATTCACTGGTGACACAAAGATGTGGGGAAAAGTGGGCACACTGGAGGGGAGGGACAGAATCCAACTAGAGCTGGACAGGTTACAGAGGTGGGCAGATGAGAATAGGATGGAATTCAATGCAGACAAGTGCAAGGTACTGCATCTAGGGAGAAGGAACCAGCAACACACCTATAGGCTGGGGAACACCCTTCTCAACAATACAGTGGCTGAAAGGGATCTTGGAGTCATTGTTGACTCCAGGATGGACATGAGCTGCCAATGCGAGGAAGCGGTCAGTAAGGCTAACTGCACCTTGTCATGCATCTACAGATGCACCACAAGCAGGTACAGGGAGGTGATCCTTCCCCTCTATGTGGCACTGGTCAGGCTGCAGTTGGAGTACTGCATCCAGTTCTGGGTGCTGCACTTCAAGAGGGATGTGGCTAACCTTGAGAGAGTCCAGAGGAGGGCCACTCGCATGGTAAGGGGGCAACAGGCCAGGCCCTACGAAGATAGACTAAAGGGCCTGAATCTATTCAGCCTCCACAAGAGAAGACAGAGGGGATCTTGTAGCCATCTATAAACTCACCGGGGGGGACCAGCAGAAAATAGGTGAGGCTCTGTTCCCCTGGGCACCATCTGGAATAACAAGGAAAATGGCCACAAATTGATTGAGAGTAGGTTGAGGCTTGATATCAGGAGGCATTGCTTTACGGTTAGGGCTGCCAGGCTTTGAAATGGGCTCCCAAGGGGGGTGGTGCTCTCCCCTACCTTGGGGGTCTTCAAGAGGAGGTTGGATAGGTATCTGGCTTGGGTACTATGATTCCTGCACTTGTTCCTGCCCAAGGCAGGGGGTCAGACTTGATGATCTGTTCAGGGCCCTTCTGACCCTAGAAACTATGAAACTATGGAGCATGGCAGGCAGGCAGGCAGGGAAATGGCTGTGGCAGGTGGGGCAAAGGGGCAGTGAGTTGGTGTGCAGAGCGCAGCAACAGCTGGGTGGGTGCGTGGGACCCATGATGGTGCACTGGGGTGAGCGCGGGTGGGGTCCAGAGTGGGGTGGCAGGAACACGGGGCTGGGCTGCCAGGGGCTCTATGGACCCAGGCTGCACTGCTCAAGCAGAGAGAGGGAGCTGTCCCGGCTCCATACAGCCCCTGGTAGCCTGGCCCTGTGCTCTGCTGTGGGCCCCACTGACGCTGGCCCTGGGGCACCGGTGTGGGCCCCACACTCCCACCCAGCTGTCACTGTGCTCCATGCTCCCACTTACTACCTCTTTTGCCTGCCTGCCACAGCCATTTCCCCAATCCCCTCCCCTACCTGCCAGCTGGCCTCTGGCACTACATGGTTCCTAGCTGCAGCTCTGGGACCACAGGAGCCAGCTGAGCCGGCCCTAAGGACTGGAGCAATCACACACGGTTCTCCCCTGCCTCCCTCCCCTCCTTCTTATCTGTATTTCCCTTGGCACAGGGAGGCAGGAACAGCCCCAAACCAGAAACCTCCAAATGCCCCTGGTAGGCAGAGGCTTCTGGCTGGGGCTCAGGGTAGGAGAGGCTGGGGGTGAGGCAGGGCCAGACTTGCTGCAACGGCTGTTTCGTTCTGCCGCTGGGTCCCCCTGGGTCCTACTGCCCCTGGCTCCTGTCATCTTTGACAGGCAGCCAGGGGCAGATAAATATTAATTTTCTAATTTTTTTTAGGGGCCCTGCAAGCCAGATAGAATGGCCTGGCAGGCCAGATGCAGCCCATGGACTGTATTTTGCCCACCCCTGACCTAGTGCCATCAGGAACATGTATAAAAGGCTGTGTGCAAAAATTTGGGGACTTCTCTGGTGACAGTGGAGGCATCACCCGAGTTGGGCAGAAACTAAATGGGAGTTGTGAGGATCTGTACTTGACACTGAGCACTTCAAACACCAGTTAGAGGTTCACATCCTTTTAGCTCTTAAGTTTTCAGTTTGATCTGCTAAATCATGAGAAACATACAAGCTGTCTTCCCTAGGTTTTGGACTTCATTCAGTTAACTCATACAAGGAAAGAGCACAGGTTTTTCTTTTTTTCCCTAAGGGAGGTCACAGTTATAGGAAGCCAGGAGCCTAGGTGGAATAGCTAGATGGAGAAATATAAAGGCAGAGGTGGACATGGCAGGAAGTGGAAGGAAAACTCAAGATAGGAATTTATGGCTTTGTCAGAGAGAATGTATGGATTTTGCGAGAAGGAGGAATAGAAGAACTGAGAGGCCCAATGGTAGGAATTTTATGAAAATGAAGAGTGAATATATTTCAAACATTGCATCATTCACATTAAACCTTCAGCTTATTAAAGATGAACCTTAATATGAAGGGTAATGTGATTAGTCTGCTTACTGCAGGAGGTATTGTCAGTGATGTTGATTTCAGAGAAGTCA